AAATTAAAAAAAAAAAAAAAAAAAAAAAAAAAAAAAAAAAAAAAAAAAGTATGGGTCATTGTGAAAATGGTTAAACTCTTTAAATTCACAAGAAGTTTTGTTCCTCAACAGTCAAATGCTTCTGTCTTTTTATTTGTAATCCACATTATAAATCTCTTTAGTTCAAATGTAAGCAATTGTTGACACTGCATGACATCAAGCTTCTGTGACATCACAAATATATGACTTGTGACTTTATGTGGAATCATCTTTTGTATATCAGACACTGCTGACCAGAATCTTATTCTACACCTGGCTTTCAAACAAAGGTAAAGCATTATCTTCCTCAAAATATCTCCATCATGTATCTGGGAACTTCTAGGCTCTTTAGCACAACCTATAGAGCGCTACCGGATACACAGGACACAGTCATATCCTCCTTTCTCATCAGATTTTAGAGTGGTATTTGAATCTTTTCATACTTTACTCATTAAACATCTATTATATTTGAAGTAGAGACAGTTCCTATCATCATGTTTTATAATTAATTGTTCAAATAGATTAAGTAGTAATTTCTGCTTGATTAATTAAAATACATGGAAGTTCATAAAAGGTATAAATTCTATGACCTCTGATCTTTGTATGCCATGGAAATGCATTTTTCTGCTCTTCTCACTGTTTATTCCAATAAGATGTGTTTATGATAATATACTTACAGATTTACACTTTATTAAGCATAGTTAAAGTACTATATAGTCTTACAACTAAGAGAGGAATCAAAGAATGATTCTGAAAACTGGTTTCTGTTCTTAATGGAATGTTCTTAAGTAGGAGTTGTACAAACCAATGAACCACACAAATTCTACGATCCTATTCTGGAGGGTGCTAACTTTAAATTAAAAGAATGTCAGACAAAACCCTCCACAAGTTTCTAGTGGTGAATTTTCTTGAGTTCTGTTCCTAGCATTGTGTAAAGCTGAGTAAGGCAAGGACAAGGACTAATTTGCATCAGAATATAAAAACTGAATTCCTAAAGATCAAGCAAAAATAATCTACAAAGAGTGTCAAAATAAATGTCTAGCAACCCATTCCTTCCACAAATCCACAAATGCAAGTAATCTCCATCTACACAAAATAATAATATTAAAACAAGTCGAAAAGCTCTTTAGTTAGCTGGTAATTCCAGAGAGAGTAAGAGACAAAGGGAGTTGAAGAACATTTCAAGAATACAAAACTCAAAACGAGATGATGAAAAGGTAAGATGACTTAGCTCTTTAGAACACTCACTGCTCTTCCAGGAGACCAGGATTTAATTTCCAGTATCCAAATCACGTAGCTCACAATCACATTTAGTTCCATCTTTAGGTGACCTGATCACCTCTTCTGGATTCTTTGGTACCTATACACACATTTATATATTCAAATATACATACATACACACACACATGTACAATCAAATTAAAAATAGAACAAATATTTTAATAGTCAAAGAATAAGAGTAAAAATGAATAAAGTTGTGGCATGATTAATAAAAAATACTAACCTGCAATTCCTTACTATCCTAAACAGTTGGTAATAATAATTTTCAAGGACAAGAAATTTGCATTGCATTTTTAAAGATTTGTATAGGTACAATACTTTGAAGAAAAGTAGAAATGTATATATAGCATGCTCTAAAAAATTAATCTCAAATTTGAATCAATATACTAAAATAAATATACAATATACAAAAATTCGATCCAATGTAAAGCATTTAAAACCAGTAGTTGCTTTTTAAAAGTAGATTGGGGCCATTTGTGGCTTTTTAGCCACTGACACAGACCAGAGCTGCACATGGGGCTACAGCCATACATGGCTAGCTCAATCAGTAGAGCATGACACTCTTAATCTCAGGGTCATGGGTTTGAGCCCCATATTGGGTGCCAAATGCATCATAATTAATAAAAACCCTGAAACATATATCGGGGTTCAACATGAATATCAAAAAAGCAAAGCAGTCAAAATACTAGAGACTCTTGCCTCAATGATAGGTAAGACTTTTCAGACTTAAAGAGAGTGAGTTCCTGTCTCATCCCAATTTATATTCTTCTCTAGTACTGGGATTAAAGGCTTGTAGCATCTCTGCCCGGCCTCTATGACTCACTAGTGCGGTTGCTGGGATTAAAGATGCGTACAAACACTGTTAGGCCTATATGGTTGACTAGTGTGGAAGCTTTGCATTGCCCTCCAAGAAAGCTTTATTTATTAAATTACAAATGAAATATCACTAGAAAGAAGTGTAGGGAGATTCACAGTCATAAGCCTAGCTAGGTTAATCAACTCTGTATTTAGCTGATACCGAAGAAGTCCTCAGCCACTAGCAGCTATGAGAAGTCACTGTGTGTTTCTCTTCTAGACTAACCTTAAAACAAGAATGAATAAAGCAATATTATGTAACAATAATGCATAGAGGGAGTAAGGAGTTAAGGATAAGCAAAAGAAGCAGAAGTTCTTCTTGAAGTAGTTTTTATTACTGCAAATAAACAAAGCAGATATTGAAAACTTAAGTGATATTCAAGGACATTTTTGAAACAAAATATAAAATGAAAGCGCATTGGGTTACTAATAATCTACCAAAATTTTTTTATCTCAAAAACTGTAAAACAGAAAAATAACAAAAAATCTAAAGAGAAAAAACATTGTATATCTAATAATACATAAAATTATCACATAAAATTTTCAGAGCTGATATCAAACATCATATAAATCCTATATGTATGAATAAGAATAGTTTATAAAACAATTTTTGATTACACACGCACACACACACATACACACACACTCACATAAAATTATATTTTATAAATGTAATCCTTTACCCACATGTACATTTGTTTTGGGTAGGTTATATATATGAAGGGAACATTTCTTGTTTGTGACCTTGCTTAATATATTTAAGCCCATTCTTTGTCCAGTAATTTCTTTGATTGTATTACTAAATAGTACTATAGATAGACAGATGTATATAAGTGATAGGTACGATAGATAGATAGATAGATAGATAGATAGATAGATAGATAGATGTAGATAAATGATAGGTACATTAGATAGATATCACTTTCACTATCCATTCCAAGGTTGACCCAAATTCTTTAAGTTTTTTGCTATAATGAATAAACATGGGGATGTAAATATCTCTGAGATAATCTTTGTAATCTAGAATCTAGATATTAACACAGATCAGGACAATTGACTGGTCTATCAAGTTGGGCATTTTTAAATTCTTTGCATTTGAAAGCACTTGGAATCCTCTCTCCTATTAAAGACAATAAGCTGATTACCATCAACTATAGTCGTCATTCTCTGTTTTGTCACCTTTAGTATAAACTCTTAGCTCCACATTAAGGTGAGATTAGACAGCACTTGTATTTCAGAGTCTGATATGTTTTACTTACAGGTTTTACATTCTAGATGAGTTAATAATTTTGAAATTCTTTTTAGAAGGAATAGAAAAAAACGAGAAAAGCACACATAAGACCATTTGTAGTCTTTTATATACACACACAGACATATGCTACATGATACAATGTACACTCCTCTGCACACATACACACCATACACACACGCAGGCTCCATAATGCAGCATACACTCCTCTATACACATACACAAGCTACATAATGCAATGTACAATCCTCTACACACATACAAAAGCTACACGATGAAACATATACTCTATTGCATACATACACAAACTACATGATACAATACACACTCCCCAGCACAATACACACACACAAGCTACATGTTGCAGCATATACTCCTCTACATACAAACACAAACTACACGATACAATGTATACTCCTCTGCACACATACACACATGCACAAACTACATGATGTAGCTTATACTCTTCTACACATGTGCACAAGCTACATGATGCAATGTAAACTCCTTTGCACACACACACAAAGTACACGATACAACGCATACTCCTCTACACACATACATAAGCTACATGATACAATGTATACCCCTCTATACACACAAACACACACTGAATGTTGCAATGTACACTCTTCTACACAAACACATGCACTACATGAAGCAATTTATATTCTGACACACACATAAGTACATGATGCATAGAATATTCCTTCTACCTCACTAGGAACATGATGAAATGTATACTTTTCCACACACACAATCCACATCATGCACTGTACACTCCCCCCACACACATAACATACAAGCTACATGATGTAATGTACACTCCTACATACACATATAAATTTACTTGTGAATGTGAGTGCACTACACAATTTATTTGTCTCAGAGGTCTTCTGATATAATTTCAAAGAGATAATCTTTATTAAACATGAACTGTTCCAGGACACTGAAATTCAGTAAGCCCTCAAATATTTTTTTTTCTGAAATAAGATGGTATTTTTATTTAAACTCAGTAATCATAGCACAGATAGATAAATGATTACTTATAAATTCATATACAAAAGTACTAAAGGAAAGATTTTCAAATAAAATCTAATATTATGCTAAAATATAACACAAGAGAAAATGAGATTTACTTCAAGAAAACCAGGTTTATCTAAGTAAGCACCATACTCTTAGATGATAATTTCCTATTTCAGTTGCTTTTCACTATTGCAGCAAAGTATTTCACAGAAAAAAACACACTCAAGAAAAGAAGACTGTGTTTATTTCTACTTATGATTGAGGGTACCAGGCCAGAAAGTTATGCTGTTAAGAACACGAGTTGGCTGGTCACATTGTGTCTTCATTTAGAAAGCTGTCATTGGTGCATCTTAGTGCTCAGCTTGGTTTTTCCTTATTCCTTTATGTTCAATCAATGACTCCAGCTCAGTGATCAGTCCTGCCCACAATTAGTGTAGGTCTCAGTGCCTATTACACACTCCCTCAATCCATCCTAGAAATTCCTTACAACATGCCAGCGACTTGTCTCCTACAGAAGTCCAAATTCCATCTAACCAAACAATAGGATTAACCATCACATTATCCTCATATTTACTTTCCTCTGGGGATATTTAAAATATAGTTCATTAGGAAATGACAAGGCAAATGTGCACAGGAAATAAGATAGTTGAATATGGTATGTTTCAAAATGAAGTATTACCAAAATTTAAGCATTTTTAATAATGATAAATATGCAAATATCTTAGAAAATATATTAAACAATTTTCAGAAAGCACTTTTGAGATTTCTGTTTATTATTGTTCTTGCTGTTTGCTTGCTTCTAAAGCACAATACAAGGGGCTGGAGAGGTGGCTTAGCACTTAGGAGCAGCTGCTGCTCCTGCAAAGAGTCACATTCAGTTCTCAGGCCCTCCAACACGTCGCTTAGGACCACCAGAACTCCAGTCTCGGGGAATCTGACACCATTTTCTGGCCTCCATGGGTATGCAAGGCTATGTAACATAATTATACAGAAACACAAACATACATACATATACATAAATAAACCTCAAGAAGACACAGTACATTAGAATATGTATACTATGTAACTTTAAGAAGTTTGATGAAAAAATCCACTCACTAAGCTGTTTATGGAAGAAGAAAAACAGAAACAAATTTCATGAACCAGTCATCCTGCTTACTCAGAGAAGGAGGGGTGAAAATGAGGTGAGTACCGACAGAATAAATGAGATGAATTTAAAGCGTTACTATGATTAGCATGCATCCTTTTGCTCCTTCTTGAAATTTTTATTCACAAGAACACACAGTAGTTATTTGTTCAGGACAGGCATGGTTTCTCCTATTCTTCCACATAGTAATACATAGCTCCTCATGACAGCTATGGAGAAATATACCACAAGATTTACCTATCAATTATGTGATATCTATCCTTGAAATCTGTTTTTTTTTAAGTTTGGGTTGACTGTAAATAAAAGTCTTATGAATATCTTTACACATTTGTTTTCATGATTATATGCACTCATATTTGTTGGATGCATTCCCAGGAGTGAAATCACTGTCACAGGAAATATGAATGCACAGCTTTAATAGCCATGGCATGTTTCCTAAAGTGCTTTTATTATTGTGTATTTTAAGAGACACTGTGCAAAAGTCCCTTCAGATTTACAGTCTTGCAGAGTCACAAGTGCTGAGTATTTTGATGTTTTAATGGCTCTGTGGTACTAACCCTAACTCAGACTTAAGCACACATTTCTCAGACCGCTAGTGCCATTGACTTCACATGTTTATATGAGTAATTGGCTACTTAAACATCTTTTAATTTTTGTTTCTTTGTTTATTTGAAAAATTTTATTTCTTACAGTGTCTTACACCAATATGGATAGGTTGCATACAGTGCCTAATAAGATCTTTTTTTTATTTTCTCATTTTGCATACCAATTCCAATTCCCAATACCACCCCTCCCATCCCTCCTCCTGCTTTTTCCACTTTCCCCCACCCCAACCCCCTCCACTCCTCAGAGAGGGTAAAGTCTCCCATGTGGAGTCAACAAAGTCTAGCACATCACTTTGAGGCAAGGTCAAGGCCCTCCCTGGTATATCTAGGCTGAGCAAAGTATCTCTCCAAAGAGAACAAGCTCCAAAAATCTAGTACAAGCAGTAGGGATAAATCCTGGTCCCACTTCTAGTGACCCCATAGACTGTCCATCCTCTTTTAAACCATTTTAAACCAGGCATGAGTATGTGCATCTACAGCTGTCTAATACTTGACAATGGTATGGAAAACACACAGTGGAGAAAAGGCAGCATATTCAAAATGTGATACTAGAAAAACTGGATGAATGTCCACAGTAGAGCATTGAAATTAGACCCATCCTTGCCACTTTACACAAAAACTACTTACAAATAGACCAGATAGCAATGTGAAACCTGAAACACTGAAAATGTCAGAAGAAACGACACATGATGAGTAACCTGCAAGATTACTTTGCCTTGGAATTAAAGCCCACAATTGACACATGGACGACCATTGTCTTGTGCTATTGGACTTAGTTTTCAATTATTATTAGATGCACTCATTAATATTTGAGATATAAACAATAATCTAACTGAAATTAAGGGTAGAATGGTGGTAGAGTTGAGAGGAGAACAGGTAAATCTTATCAATGGGCATTAAGCTGAATTTAGACAGCAGTAAGCACAATAAATATAATACATTGGCCATATATGGTATAATACTAGAAAAAAAGAATTTGAATGTTTTGTCATACAAAATTATAAATGCTAGATTAAATACACATTTAAATTGCTTATCCCATATTTTTGCATAATAGGTTTAAGCAATACACTTACCTGTTAAAATAATAAATGAAAACACCTGATGTTTAACGATAACAAAATACAAATCATATCAAAAGGAAAATGAAATTCACATTTTTTTTGAGACAGAGTTTCTCTGTAGCTTTGGAACCTATCCTGGAACTAGCTCTTATAGACCGAGCTGTCCTCCAACTGACAGAGATTTGCCTGCCTCTGCCTTTCTAGTGCTGTGATTAAAAGCATGCACCACTACCACCTGGCTGAAATCCACTTTATTTTAAAGAACAAGAAATGATCAGACTTAGATTCATTTTAACACAATTATGAAATGTACAACTTCAAAGTTGAAGATCAGATGTGGGAATGTTATTTTAATTTATATAATTCATTTGCTCTTATATTAAATTATGCTTCAGATTATCAAATGATAAGATATCCTGGAATTCTTCAAATAAAATTCAGATATGAACTACTACCCTTTTAATATACTACTAGTAAAAAATGTATATTATGCTAAGAATTGTACTTAATGAGGAATATCTTTTCTCCCTAGATAATATTGTTGTTGCAGGATATTTAATCACACTATGAACCTCGAGATTGCATTATTTGCTGGAGGAAAGAAAACTGTTTCCAGTTATGGTGTGACTCAGCCATAATACACACCTTAAATTCAAGAGTCTTCTTCTTGAATATTATAGATAGGATTAAATAAAGTCAATCAAAGATCAAGAGGTAGAACAAGCAAAAATTTGACAGGAAATGAACAAGATAAAAAACAGAGAGTAAGATGGAGTCAGGATGATGGCTAGAGAGAAGCATAGGAAGTGGAAGGGACAGACATTCAAGTTTCAGGCAGTCTTGTTTGAGACAGTGGGGAAGAAGAGGTATATCTGGGAAGTCAGCAGAGAAGGAAAGTCAGTCAGCTAGGTGCTTTCTTTGCATCTTGGTGTAGGAGGTCCTTCTGTCTGTGTGTTGTTTTTAGTGGTTCATGAACGAAGAACAGCCTTGGCGTATAGAGTGGGAGGAGGAAGACAGAGTCAGAGATACACCTTGGAACGGCTGGAGTCAGATGCTGTAAATATTACCCGGTAAGCCACTGCCACATGGTGATACACAGATCAATAGAGATGGGTTAAATTAAAATGTTAGAGTTAGCCAATAGGAAGTTAGAGCTAATGGGCCAAGCAATGGTTTAAATAATATGGTTTCTGTGTGATTATTTTGAATCTAAGCTAGCCAGGTGACTGAGAACCAACAAACAGCCTCTCCTACAACAGCCTCTCTCACCTATCAGATTTTCAGTTCAGCATTTGGCTCCCAAGTATTTTTTATTATTATTTTTTAAAAAACTATCATTTTTTTATTTTACACAATAATCTTAGTTCCCACTCCCTCCCTTTCTTCTATTCTCTCCACCTAACCCTGCCACTCCTCCCCACATCCACTCCTCAGAGAGGGTAAGAAGGCACATTGCTTTGGGGAACTTCCAAGGCCCTTTTTACTATATCTAGACTGAGAAAGGCATTCATCCAAAGAGAATAGGTTGCAAAATCATCAGTATAATCAGTAGTTCTGGTGCCACTGTCAGTGGTCCCACAGTTTTCTCCAGTCATACAACTATCACCCACATTCAGAAGGAATAGTTTGGACATATGCTGTTTCCTTCCCTGTCCAGCTGGAGTTGGTGATCTCCCATTAGCTCAGGTAAACTGCTTCAGTGGGGGTTCCCATAATGGCCTTGTCCTCTTTGCTCATATTCTCACTCCTCCCTCTCTTCAGTTGGACTTTGGGAGTTCAATTCAATGCTGCAATGCAGGTCTTTTCCTCTGTTTCCATCAGTTATTGGATGAAGGTTCTATGGTAATATTTAATATATTCATTCGTCTGACTACAGGGCAAGGCCAATTTTGAGGTACCCTCTCCTATATTGTTTAGGGTTTTAGCTGAAGTCATCCTTGTGAATTCCTGGGAATTTTTCTAGTGCCCGATTGTTTTGCTAGCCTCATAATGGCTCCCTCAGTCAAAATATCTCTTTCCTTCCTCTCTATCTCTGTCTTTCCTCCATCTCAACTATCCCATTCCCTCAATTTTTCTTCCCCCTTCCCTTCTCCCCTCATCTTTCCCTTCTGTCCTCCCTACTCCCTTCCACCACCTTGCTCAGTAGATTAAAAAAAAATTCAGGGAAGACCAGAAAACAAGTATTTTGGCAAACTGGGAGGTTGAGATGGAGGAAGGATGGATATGGGAGCAGGGAAGAAGATATCTTAATTAAGGGAGCCATTTTGGGGTTGGCAAGAGCCTTGGCTCTAGAGGGGTTTCCAGGTGTTCACGGGGATGTCCCCAGCTAGGACCCTGGGCAGTGGAGGAGAGGGTGCCTGAATGATCATGTCCCATAGCCACACTGATTAATATCTTGCATATCACCATAGAACCTTCATCCGGCAAAGGATGGAGATAGAGACAGAGACCCACATCGGAACACTGGACTGAGCTCCCAAGATCTGGTTCAAGAGCAGAAGGAGGGAGAATATGAGCAAGGAAGTCAGGACCACGAAAGGTTGGTCCACCCACTGAGACAGTGTGCCTGAGCTAATGGGAGCTCACCAAAGGATTAAAGGTTTGTGCTTCCCAAGTGCCGGGATTAAATGTGGGCATTTAGGAAGCACATGCCTTTAATCCCAATGTTTGGGAGGTAGAGGCAGGGAAATAGGAATTACAGTGAGTTAAATTTAAAACCTGCTTGAAAAAGGCAGGCTGAAATTCAAAGTGAATGTCCTTTGTGACCTTAAAATAAATATATTTAAACCTTGAATTTATATATAAAGAGAAAGGGTAATATAGGTATATTTATCTACACATAGTGAGGTTTATTTAGTCTCAAATTTTCAAAATAATTTTAATTGAAACATAAAGCTTTTTCTGTTGCCAAGAAAAGAAGCATTTTACCCTAGGAAAGATGTAACCTGGCAAAACAGGAAACTTCCAGGTTTAGGTTTGGGGCAGTGTTTTGCTCTTGTCTTTCCAGGAGAATAAAAAGATCCAGTCAAGAAATCCAGAGACCACTGGATAAGTGAAACATCTGAAGAAAAATGATAGATCATCTGGAGAAAATAACCCAACAAATAGAGTAAGCTGGCCAAGTGGTATTGCCCCTCCAGCTGACCGACTCTAAACCCCAGATTAGCACCAGCACCCATGCCACCATCTTGCCTAAGTGGTTGTCCCTACCTGCCAGACAACCACCCAGTGTGAACAGGAGGCATGGCTGTCCTTCCCATGGGAGATTCCCAAATACTTGTTTCTGCTGCCCTCTACAGACTTAAGTGGCAAGTGGTCTTTATGTGGCCCCAATTTAATAAAATACTAAAGCTGGTTTGGGAGTAGAAGCATGACTCTTTCCTCTAAACCTGCATGTGCTTGCTAAAAGAAACCTCAAAAAAAATATCTCTGTCTCAGACCAGAAGAGTCACCTGGTATGGAACAGAGGAAAACCAAAAAAAAAAAAAAAAAAAAAAAAAAAGTGACTATTCTATTGCCACTAATTTCATGACGTTTTGATTTTTCTTTGACTCTCTAAAACCTTTTATTTCTCTTTAGACAAAAAGGGGAATATTACAGGATATTTGGTCACACTCTGAACCTTAAGATTGCATTATTTACTGAAAAAAAATCTGTTTCTAGATGTGGTGTGGCTCTGCCCTACCACACACCTTTAATCCAAGAGTTTTCCGCTAATTGTAAAGAAGAATAAAGTCTACCACAGGTCATAGGTGGAGCAACCAACTGGTTGACAGGAAGTGAGGGAGGAAAATCGACAAAGAAAGAGAGAGAGGGGGAAGTCCACATAGAGAGGCGCACAGGAAGTAGAAAGGAGGAACCTTCAGTTGAAGGCAGGCTTATTCAGAAGGTGGAGGTGGAAGACAAAGGTGCTAGGTGCTTTTTTTGCCTCTCTGAGCTAATTGGGCTTCACTCCATCATTTGGTTCCCGATTCTTCATTGATAAAGACAAACAATTGAGATTTAGTCAAAAACAACATATTGTCATATTTTATTAAGGCATTTTCAACTTAAAATATATGGAGCATTCCATGTCTTATTTGTTGTCAAAAGAAAAAAACAAGAACTCCAAACTGTTGGAATTGACCAGTGAAATAATTTTAAATTAAAATTATATTTTAGAAGAATTCTAGTGGTAGACTCAATATCTATATGAGATGTAAATTATTCAAAATACTTACTTTTCAATCATGTAATAAACTTCACTGAATAGAATCATACATATTTAAAGCTGGAATAGAATGGTATCCACTTTTATTTTAGAAAAAAATTTCTTTAAAATGTTTGCTTTTTATCTCTAAAATATTTTAAGCATGTGTAAAAAGAATACATGAAAACAGCTTTATACATTCATCTTCTAGCTTACCAACTTATAATCTACTTAAAATTTAATACTATATTGATCTATTTCGGTAAATGCTTCTTGAATCCTTGGACATAGAATTATTATATTTTGAAGGAACTAGAAGTACAGGAATTTGTGTATAAGGGTGATAAAGAGGACAAAGACAACTGCTAAGCCACAGGGAGCAAGGAAAGATGGGTCAGTGGAAACAGAGATGGGAAAGAAAAAAACAGGTAGAGGATGGGGTTAATAAATCAACATTTGCTGAATTTCTTACTGATAAGAAAAAACACACATAGCCACACAAATCCAACAAAATTATTTTTGTTGCAGAACTGATGTTTTGGTGAGGGACAGTGGTAAAACTTGGACTTCTGAGGGCACTTGGCAGTGGGACCACCACCCACCTAGCATGTGCTAGATTGTGGGAGCCCATTCCCTACGTTGGAATGCCAAGCTCAGCTTTAATGCAGGGGTAGGGTCTTGGTCCTGCCCTGACTTAACGTGTCAGACACTGTTGACCCCCCATTTGAGTCTTTACCTGTTGGTCGGAGTCTATGGGAGGTGGGCTGGGTTGGAAGTGGTGGAGTATGAGGAGGGGTGGGAGGGAAAACTGAGGTTAGAATGCAAAATGAAATTAAAAATAAAGAAAAAATTTAAAAAACAACTGAGGTTAAGGCAAATGAATTGTGTCAGGAAAAAGTTTCTTATTAAAGTTGTGAGAAAACAATAACTTTCCAGGTAATATAGAAATAGATCCCTGAAGATCAACACTCAAAGATTCAGGCTTCATCTACTATGCTCTGCATTATTTACAGAAACAAAGTAATACAAAAGGAAGTAAAGTTCTGGATAGAGAAAAAGCAAAGAATGCAGGTCACAGAGTAAAGACGCTTAGAAAAAAATAAGGCATCACAGAACAGTAACCCATGGGTTATAGATTCAAATATTTATTCAATAGAAGCTGGAAAATCCATACCCTCCATAGTATGAAGGGCGGCAGCAGCCATATCCATAGCCTCCAAAGCCAGAGCCGTACCCGTAGCCACCGTAGCCAGAGCCATACCCATAGCCTCCACAACCACAGCCATAGCCCAGTCTGCGGATGCCATTACATCCACAGCCATAGCCTCCATAGCCGTAGCCCAGGCCCCCAAAGCCACCATAGCCGTAGCCCAGGCCTCCGTAGTAGCCGCTGTAGTAGCTCATAATGTCTGGAGTGGTAGGTTTGGTTTGCAGCTGCAGAACAATGTTGTCAGTTCAGCTGCACAAGGCCATTTATATATACTTGGAGAAACCACACCTCTAAATGCAATTCGTTAAAACTATTCATTAAAATTGAAAACTATGTGAACAATGTTGTTTCTTAGGACTCAACCCCTTGTTTGCATGAGTGGTGATTTAAATACTATGCAACATGTTTGATGTTCTGCTTTCTTTGGATGGCTAGAAAGATGTTTTGTCTCTAATTTTTTTAAAAAAAAATGTGCTATTTATCGTCCCTGTGTATGCATGAGTTGCTGAATTTCAAGCTCTACAATAAACTCCTTGGCTTCAAATATTGAAATGGTATCTCATGAAGTTGCCTTTACACTCCAACTTCATCTTTTTTTTTTTTTGACATTCTACTGTTGAAGAATTTTTTTTCCTAAGCCAAGTAGATGTGCCATCACTCTTTTGGCAAATATCCACATGCACTAAATCATAACTGTTGAAATGCTAGCTGCCATTAAAAGATGACAATAAACTATGATGTGTATCTTAATGCCATGCATTCTACAGTCAGCTGAGAATCACATTGAGTAGTGCAATGATCATATCTAAGTTTTCTAAATAATTATAGATGAAAGTCAATGGGACTTCTGAAGTGTCATGTCTCCCATATAGTCTGCTTGATAGACATGACTAAACAGAGAAAACCCTGCTATTTGCATTTAAATAGGTACCTCCAAGTTTATAAATAGATGCTTTCATTTAGGTTGTAAATTTCAAGCATTCATAAAATTCTACAGCCATACACTTAAGGAAATTTAAGACGATTTATTGTTCTGTTCTCTATCTATCATCTATCTATCTCTGTCTCTGTCTTTCTGTGTCTGTTTATCTCTCTCTTCATTTGTGTGTAAATCAAGGAGAAGTTGTGATTCAGGAAAATGCAGAATCATGCTGTCATCTTTCTAGGCAGGTCAGATATATTTAAGTGTTTCATCTCTTGAACATAATTCAAAAGTTAAATTTGAATCTAAGCTATTTTTCTCCCATTTTATTAATCTGCCTATTTTTAATAATCACATAATAAGAACATACTTGTCATTAAATGTATTGATAGGAATGCTCAGGTAAGTCTATGTTGTAGCTAGAACAGTTGAATTCCACAAAGATTACAAAAAAAATGTGCTTTAGTGACAAGAAATTGAGATCAAAGTGCAATTATTTGAACATGCGTGTCTATAATAGTGGTCCTCTGCAGTCTGCAAATTTAATAGACTTAGTCTTTGGTGTGAATTATTTTGTTTTTCCTATACTTCTATTAGAATAATTTTGGCTAAGCCTAATGTAAGATGAAAAGAACTCATGTTTAATATTTGTCATGATTCAAGTAAATATTTCCTGAGAGGGAACTATTATATTTCAGTAATTAAGAGTCTTCCAAGAACTAGCCTAAGAATGTCTTCCTCAGCTTTCTGTCAGCTCTAAGCTTAGCCTGCACATGTTCCATAGGCCTCCTCCCTTCACAGCTTCCTCACCAGAGCAGGACACACAGCCTTAGTCATAGCAGGACTCATTCAGGTTTCAAAAGGAATTTCATAGACTCTTTTATCTTCTGAGGTACCAGTGTATTTACATTGCAAGTTTTTAGAAATAGAAGTTCTATTTGACCAATATCTTAAATTTCTCTAATTGTTTTCTATTCAATTAGTTCACCTTTAAAAATATTTTCTAAAAAGTCAGAGTTACTCTGTGGTGACAAAACAATTTTGGAGGGTGGCTATTATCTGAAAGTCAATAAAATAATACATGCTGTCAATGAAGTACAGAGAGGGAACCTATATACAATGT